GCGACCCAAAAAAGAAACACTTTCACTGTCATTCACACATAATCACTATCTTTGCAGAGGTGCCCAGATATGACAGTTTAGATGTCACTCCAAACAGCAAATATCTTAAAACCATCCTTTCAAGTGCAGGTATTGTACTTCCCACCTACAGAACTCAAGTCTGTCTAACCGGTTTCCCTGAATCCCTTCACAAAATATTACTCTGGTCACACTCCAACAGCTCAAGTCACAAAAACCATTTGTTTCCATTCACTCCTATCTAACACGCTCACACATGCCTGCTGTATGTCCAATCCCCTTGCATACAAAACCTTTTTTACTCCCTCCCTTCATCTTTTCCTAGGATGACCCGTAATCCTCCTCTACAGATTTATACATCTCCAAGTCATCCTATTTTGCTCCATCCTCTCTAACTAACCAAACCACCCCAACAACCCCTCCTCAGCACTCTGAACAATACCTTTAGTAACTCTGCACCTCCTCCTAATTTCCACACTACGAATTCTCTGCATAATATTTACACTACACACTGTCCTTAGACACAACATCTCCATTGCCTCCAGCCTCCTTCTCGCTGCAGCATTTACAACCCATGCTTCACACCCAACTACTGGACCACTACGACAAGGTCCTGGATGCTCCAGAAGACAAACAGAATGCAGTTGTAATATACACAGACCTTGCAAAAGCCTTTGACAAGTGTGACCATGGTGTAATAGCACACATATTGCATGATAAAGGAATAACAGGAAAGTCGGTAGATAGATCTATAATCTCCTAACAAATAGCCCACAAAGAATAGTAGTCAACAGGGTAAAGTCAGAGGCGGCTACAGTGAAAAGCTCTGTTCCACAAGGCACAGTACTCGCCCCCATCATGTTCCTTATCCTCATATCAAACACAGACAGAGACATAAGCCACAGTGCCATGTCTTCCTTTGCAGATGACACCCGAATTTGCATGACAGTGTCCTCCATTGAAGACACTGCAAGACTCCAGGCGGACATCAGCCAAATCTTTAAATAAGCTTCAGAAAACAATATGAAGTTCAATGATGAGAAATTTCAATTACTCCAATATGGAAAACGTGAGGAAATTAAAGCTTCATCGTAGTATAAAACAAATTCCAACCACACAATAGAGCAAAAAACTAATGTCAAAGACCTGGAGGTGATCATGTCAGAGGATCTCACCTTCAAGGACTATAACACTGTATCAATCGCATCTGCTAGAAAAATGACAGGATGGATAATGAGAACATTCAAAACCAGGGATGCCAAGCCCATGCTGACACTTTTCAGGTCGCTTATTCTATCCAGGCTGGAATATTGCTGCACACTAACAGCATCTTTCAAGGCAGGTGAAATTGCTGACCTATAAAATGTACAGAGAACTTTCACTGCACACATAACTACAATAAACCACCTCAATTACTTGGAACGCTTGAAGTTCCTAAACCTGTACTCCCTAGAATGCAGGAGGGATAGATACATGTACATGATTATATACACCTGGAAAATCCTAGAAGGACTAGTACCAAACTTGCACATGAAAATCACACCCTACAGAATGCAAAAGACTCAGTAGACAGTGCAACATCTCCCAACGAAAAGAACGGCTGCCACTAGCATGATAAGAGACAACACAATTAAGTGTCAGGGGCCCAAGACTTCAACTACCTCCCAGCATACATCAGGGGGATTACCAATAGACCCCTGGCTGTCTTCAAGCAGGCACTGGACATGCACCTAAAGTCAATATCTGACCAGCCGTGCTTTTCGTAATTAATCCGTTCCAGAGAGTGTGACTAATGGCGAAAATGACGATTTGCAAAACCCTTTTCCCCATAAGAAATAATGTAAATCCAATTAATCTGTTTCAGACCAAAAGTATTAACAAAAAATATTTTTTTTTTACATGAAATATAGATTTACATACACAGAAAACAATGAGACATGAAGAATAAAACAATAATAACATCACACTTGCCTTTATTGAAGACTCTTGTTGGTGCATGAATAAAATACAGGTACCATCTGACTTATGACCAAGCTTGGTTCTGACCAACTGGGCGTAAGTCAAAATGGACGTAAGTCGAACCTTACTATTGAATATCAACATCACACTTTTGTAATGATTTTATTTTATTGTTTTATTTTGGTATTTCGTTTTTTACTTTACTTTTATGCTGTTAGTACTGTATTTTATACTGTAAGGTTTAGGATAAACACTGTGTACTACATAAATAGTTGTTTATTTCCCAGTAATTTGGCATAAAAAACATGGTCGTAAGTCGAGTGGTCGTATGTCAAGCAGGTCATAAGTCGTATGTCATTACATCTGTAAGGAATTGTGGCAGCAGCAGGGGAGTGTGTTTGGAGGCAGGTCAAGACAGTCGTTCAATATGACACTAATATCAATTCTACGGCTTATTTATCTATCACAATTCATCTAATATGACGTAATAAACAATATTACATCATATTACGACATATACTCTATATATACTCAATATTACGACATATACTCAATATTACGATATATACTCTAGAATGAATAAAAAATGTCATTACGTATGTCACGAGTGGTGGTGTACACAAATAACCCGCACATAAAAGAGAGAAGCTTACGACGACGTTTCGGTCCGACTTGGACCATTGACAAAGTCACACGGTGTGACTTTGTCAATGGTCCAAGTCGGACCGAAACGTCGTCGTAAGCTTCTCTCTTTTATGTGCGGGTTATTTGTGTATCGTTCCAGTCACGGCATTGTGCCTTTTTGTTATTTATTAATGAGTGGTGGTGTGTTTTGTTGTTGGGTGTATAAGGGCCACTGACAGCATAAGCCATACATAGTGGTGGTGAAGGCCAGCAGAGGCAGCAGTGTTCTCAGTAGCCCTACATAACTCCGACAACATTGGAGGAGTTAGGTTCGTGCTGTCATTTTTCTTTTGATTAATTGCTTAACTTACTTGCTACCCTGTTAATGCTACACTTTATCGCTGGCTGGCGCTATAGCCTTTATTGACTCGTGCTGCTTTAGTATCGAACATTTCATAGAATCACTGAATAAGGTACATTCCCCTCTCTCTCTTCCTCCTCCACTTTGGTACTTTGCTACTATAGTTCTTTCTTGAATTCTATCGTGTTTCTCGCCTTCTTTACCAAAGGCCTGGCACTAGGAGCTATTTTTGGGGTCATGGTGGCTTATTTAGCAGATGCAAGCGCTAAAACAAATGGAATACAGTGGACCCCCACCTTATGAACGCAGCGCATTACGTTAAATCCGCCATACGAAGCATTTGAACACAAAAACTTTGCCTGGCCTCACTATAAAAAACTCGCCTTGTGTGATTCGTCCAGGACGCGTCCCACGTGTGGCCTCAGCTGCCCTGTGGGCGCCAGTGTTTACAAGCCAGTCAGTGCGATCGCATCTATACATACATTCAGTATATTTCACCTTATCCCAGTGTTTTTTGTGCTTGTAACTGCAAAATAAGTCACCATGGGCCCCAAGAAAGCTTCTAGTGCCAACCCTGTGGTAAAAAGGGTGAGAATTAGTATGGAAATTAAGAAAGATTTTGAAGGGTTTGGGGCTAACCCTCAGAAGCCTATGCCAGTTGTGGAATCCATTGTGCCTGCTTCAAAGATTAAGGAAATGTGTGCAAAGTGGGTTGAAGTGCAAACCTTTATGGATGAAAATCACCCTAACACAGCTATTGCAAGCCGTGCTGGTGACTATTACAATGACAACGTTGTGGCCCATTTTAGGCAAATCTTAAAGGAACGGGAGGTACAGAGCTCTTCGGACAGATTTGTTGTGCGACAGAGGTCCAGTGACTCTCCAGTTGGTCCTAGTGGTATTAAAAGAAGGGAAGTAACCCCGGAAAAGGACTTGCTACCTCAAGTCCTAATGTAAGGGGATTCCCCTTCTAAACAATAACTTCCACACTCTCCCCTCCTCCCATCCCATCAATCATCACTAGATCTTCAATAAAGGTAAGTGTCATGTATTTTATTCTTAGTAGAGTAGTAATTGTGCATGTCTTCTTCAGTTTGTGTGTATTAAAATTAATATTTCATGTGGTAAAAAATTTTTTTTTTTCATACTTTGGGGTGTCTTACACAGATTAATTTGATTTCCATTATTTCTTATGGAGAAAATTAATTTGGCTAACGATAATTTCGGCTTACAATGAGTTCTCAGGAACAGATTAATATCATGAGGCAGGGGTCCACTGTACTATGAAATGTATCGTATGAACGTGTGGGATCGTCTTCACTCGCTGATAAACAATGGCACACTGGCTGTGAATGGAGTGTGGGGCTGCTGGGGCCATGAGTATGTGTCTGGGACGAATGACTATTTGTGAGTCAAACGACGATTCACGAGTCAATATTTTGATAAATAAAAATTACGATTTTTGAAAATTATGATTTCCAATGCTTACGTAAAACATGGGTCCACTGTAATTTGAAATGTCCATATTAGCGAATTGCCGTAAAACGAAGTGCCTCCTGTATATTCATAGGGAAGCACTAAATCTGTAGGAGTCATACAGCACCTGGGGACTGGGAGGTGATCAGGGCTGATCTAAGGAAAAGGGTACTCCAATTCCTCAAATCAAGACCTTCACCAGTATGAGGCTCTCTTCCTCAAAGGGGCTAATGTTTGTAATACAGCATAATAACATGTGTAATCAATAGTGTATATTCAATATACTGCATATGACCATAATTTGTACAAGTTATGTTCCTCAAAATTCAAGCTGCCAATGATCTTCACAAATTATGGAATGAATAACATAGGGGTAAATTATGGTTACATTAATTACACCTCCCAAAAAAGTCAAATAAGCTATTTACTTCTTCAAAAAAAAATACATTTAACCTAGCTTAATGGTTTTCAGTGCTTCTTCATCTAGAGTTGTTATCAATAGCATGTATTCAATATATTACCTAATAAAGCAACTGAAGAGTTGATAAGCTGTTTAACTTACCGTTTAATGAATTTCTTCTTTGTCTCTATATAGTAATTAATATATTTGTCCTTTTCTGTTTGTGCTAATTTCTTCCATGCCTGGGCAGCTTCAGGAAACAACTTCTGAGAAGGTGAAGATAAAAAAAAAAAGTCACATCTGCTCTCTCAGACTCCAGAATTTGAAATGAGATGAATTGGCTAACCTCAGTCATGAGTCACTCTTGTATGATACTCGAATATTGCTTACACAGACATAACTGCCAACAGCAAACCAACACATCACATCACCGCACTACATTACTAACACAGTCCCATTGTGACACCCAGTGATGGAGGTCCAGCCCCACTGTGATACTCAAGAATGGGGATACAGTCCACCTGACACCCATGGATAAGGGATCAACCCACCTGACATTCTTGGATGGGTGTTTAGCCCACCTAATTTGTGGAATGTGAGGATAAGGTGTTCCCATGCATGGAAAATTATTATATGTTTATATGAACAGCTAAACCCACGTGGGTCTATCAGCTATCTGCTAACTGAGAGAGAAAAACACTTGTAGTAGAAAACTTCTAGAAAAAGTAAAGTTTATTTCTTTATAAAGGTTACAATGTGTAATTACAATATTGATTTGCTAAGTACAAAGATAGCCACTATCATGCCAGGGCATTTTGGGCAGACTAATCCTAATACATAGCAACTAATTAAAACTAGACAAGATAACAGTGCATAGTAACTATACTTAAAACTAGACAAGAAGTAGTGGTTAATTGTTTTACAATCTTATTTAAACTTAATACAAATGTGAGATAGTAAGGTGGAGTAGGGTTCAGTAAAATAATCTTGAAATTACACACAAAAGCTGCATTACAAGTAATGGTTCAGGTGGTAATATTGTATGGATTGGCAGAATTAAAAGACTAGAGGTCACATAATAAAACTAATTAGCAGACGTTTTGGTTCATTTGGTTAATATTGAGAGATAAGATGATTTTATGGATTGGCAGAATTAAAAGCCTAGAGGTCACATAATAAAACTAGTCAGCAGATGTTTTGGTTGATTTGGCTAATATTGAGAGATAAGACGATTTTTTAGCAGTCCTAAATTTGTAAGTTGTCAGGGGATCCTTGACCTGTTCCAGTAGTGAGTTCCAGATCTTTGGGCCCTTTATGTGCATAGCGTTCTTGCATAGTGAGAGACTGACTCGAGGGATGTTGAAAAGTGCCTTATGCCTTGTATTGTGACTGTGCATTCTGTTGTAACTGTGGAGTAGTTTTTTGGGAGGGTTTACAGTGGAGTTTAATGTTCTGTATATGTAGCAGGCACAATAATATGAGTGTATGTCTTGTATATTTAGCAAGTTGAGTTTTTTGAAAAGTGATGGGTGTGCTGTCTAGCACAGGAGCTGGTTATCACCCGCACAGCAGCTTTTTGTTGGGTTATTAAGGGTCTAAGGTGGCTGGCTGTGGTTGAGCCCCAGACACAAATACCATAGGTTAGGTAAGGATATATTAGAGAGTGGTACAAGGTAAGGAGTGTCATTTGTGGTACATAGTAGCATATCTTGGAAAGGATTCCTACTGATTTGGAAATTTTCTTGGCTATGTGATGGGTGTGGGACTGAAATTGAAGATTACAGTCAAGGAGAAGACCTAGAAATTTACCCTCCGTGTGTCTTGATATAGGGGAACCATTTATCAATACATATTAAGTTGGATATGTAAGGCTCTGTTGCCAAACAGCATGAAGTATGTTTTGTCTATGTTGAGAGTGAGTTTGTTGGTCATCATCCAAGTATATATCTTTAGCAGTTCATTGTTTATAGTGTTTCTAAGTACAGCTGGGTCTGAATGGGAGTAGACATATGTAGTATCATCTGCAAATAGAACTGGTTTAATAATAATAATAATAAGTTTATTTCTTTGTAAAGGTTACAATGTGTAATTACAATTTTGATTTGCTAAGTACAAAGATACCCACTATCGTGCCGAGGCATTTCGGGCAAACTAATCCTAATACATAGTAACTAATTAAAACTAGATAAGATAATAGTACATAGTAATTATTACTTAAAACTAAGCATAGAATAGTGGTTAGCTGTTTTACAATCTTGTTTGGACTTAATAAATCTTATGTATACATAGTACAAAATCTAATTTACAAGGAATGGTGCAGGTAGTAATATTTTATGGAATGGCAGAACCAAAAGCCAGGAGGTCACATGATAAAACCAGTCAGTAGATGTTTGGTTGATTTGGTTAATATTGTGAGATAAGATGATTTTTTAGCAGAGTCCTAAATTTATAAGTTGTCTGGGGATCCTTGACATGTTCCTTGACTTGGGATGCATAAGGGAGATCACTGATGTAGACAAGAAAGAGAAGTGGGCCTAGGACACTACCCTGGGGGTACTCCTACAGCTACAGGTTGGATAGAGGAGTTGACTCCATTTGCATATACATACTGATGTCTGTTGTTAAGAAAAGATTTTAGGTAGTCAAGAGAATGTCCTCTGATGCCGTAATGATTCAGTGTGAGGTGCAAGAGCTTGTGGTCAACTATATCAAATGCTTTTCATAGGTCGATGAAGAGCCCCAGAGGATATTCATTTTTATCGAGAGCTGTGTATATTAGTTATAGCATTTGTATAATAGCATCATTCGTACTTTTTTTGGGGGTCTAAACCCAAACTGGCATGGGTTAAGTATGTTGTTGGATGTAAGGTAGGAGTAAAGTCGCTTGTGTATTATTTCTTCGAATATCTTGGAAAGTAAGGGCAAGTTTGATATGGGTCTATAGTTGTTCAAGTCAGTTGGATCACCTCCTTTGTGGACTGGGGTAACCCTTGCTCTCTTGAGTATAGGTGGGAAGGTTGAGGATGCTACAGATTTGTTAAACGTTGTTAGGTGACAGCTCATGTGCAGCTTTTTTTTATATATGAAAAGTGGCAAGTTATCTAGATCACCTGCTTCATTTTTTTTAACAATTTAATGATGAGTGAGACTTCAGTGAAATTAGTTGGAGCTAGAGTATTTGGGTAGTTGCCAGTGAGGTACTCATTCGTCTGAGTATTTGAGCTAGGAATTTGACTTGCTAGCTTTGATCCTATAGTAGAGAAGACATTAACCCGTAAACGGTCCAAACGTATATATACGTTTTTACCGCTAGTGCCCCAAACGTATATATATGGTTTATGTGTCCTATATTTAATATTGCCACGATAAGTCTGAGTCACCTAGACATGTGAGAATGGGTGTGAGCACTCACTGTGCACCATATTAAAATAATTGTGGATGCCTGGGTACCATATGCTCTTTTTTTCCTATTAAAAAACAATAATGTTTTTTTCTCTCAAAAAAGTTGGGGCAGTACGGTAGTGAACGTATATATACGTTTGGACCGTTTATGGGTTAAATTTGTTGGTTGTGTCTATAGGCTGTATGTGAGGTTCATCTGGTTTAGTTAAGTTTATCTCTCTATTCCTGTATTACCTGGAGTACCTGGAGTATATCTACAGAAATACTTCATTAATACAGTAGGTTAGGTTCCAGATCACCACCATAAAGCGAATATTGCCTTAAAGCAAATCACATCCTTTTTTTTCACTTACTAGTGCACATCAGTCTCGGCTGAGTGGTTGAGGGGAGTAGACGCGTGCTGGGGATCTGGACCTACTAATTAGCAGGCCTACCCATTATCTCCCCCAGGGGGGGGGGGGGGGGGGGCGGCCCCAGGCCCGGGGGGGGGGGGGGGGGGGGGGGGGGGTTCTCCCGACTGATAAATCTTCATTAAAACTCCTACTGTTAAGACAGCATTCAGTGTTGTGAGAACTCTTTATGTGCATCTGTGACTAAACAGGATATACTATGAAACACTGGAAATAGTTTTCCTTTTTGCAAAAGCATCACAGGCCTCTGCTTCCCCTCTGCCTTTCATTTGACCTCACAGAGCCCTTTCGCCTCTATCCACCATACATGATAGTTAGAGGCGAATTTTGCTAGTCCACTGCTACTCGTGCCTCTCAAAATGCTTCTACAACTCACGCTTACCAATCTGAGGAATAACGACGAGTGTGCAGGTCCTACGTTGAGTTTGGGTAACCCAGTGTCCACACACTGAAAATTCCGTCTTTCCACTCCAAGACTACGTGTGCTAGGAAGTTCTGCAATTTGGAGTGAGTAACACTCTGTATGAAGTATTTGGCAGTGTTAGGATACTCTTGAGAAGTCTGCCTCAGCCTGTGACCTCTTGAGCGAGGCACTGCAGAAGATAAAATCCAAAGAGCAAGGGTCAACAACCTGCCTGAAGACTTATCGCCCGATATTGACTATGTGAAGAAAGGTGATGTGCTTGCACAGTTACCCCTGCTGTTCTCTGTATCCCCCAACTCTCCACCTTTAACTCAGAACTCAGCCGTTCGCCTCTATCAACGACGTGCAGTAATGGGGGGGGTGGGGGGGTTAGAGGTGTATTATGCTGCCCGCTGGTACTTCGAATAAGTGGTTCCGCAAGTGCTGCATATTTTGTTGTAACTATTTGCCATGAGTGATTAACGCGACTTAGGACATTGAATTGTGCTACCATCAGTACCTTAACGTAGCTTAAATGAGTGAGGAATGTCCTGGCCTGCCTGGTGACCTTGAAATGGCACTATAAGACCCCCCCGCATTGCCACATTACACATATACTGCTTGTGTTCTAGTGAGATGAATGTCCTTCCTCGACTTTCCTATTCACACGGGTAATCCCTTAACTCGTCGCCATTATCTACATATGGGATAAGGGCAGTTAGCTGATCCAGCCAAACAGCGCTCCAAGCCAGCCAGTGAAGGCCAAGGCTACATCTGTTCTGAATCCCAGAATGCCTTTGTGAACGTTCTACAGTGTTCCGGGTCCGGCCGCACCTTCGGTGTTGTGAGACTAGTTCTTTATGTGGTGAAAATTTTCCTGTCATTCCAAGACACGTGTTGCTAAAGTGTTAAGTGCTGCGGTTAGGAGTAATTAACAAGTAGTACAGGGTTGGTAAACTCTCTCGAGACGACTGTGGGCCAATTGAATTGACCTTGAAAAAAATTGCACTGCGACTGCAGAGCCCACTACACCTTTATTGCCTGTGTCTAG